GTTTACAATAATCTTTTAGAAGACAATAGATAAAATTTAAGTGAAAATTCATTTCAATAATAAAAAAACTTTTTTTGCGATTTTAAACATTAAAAAATTTTTATCCATATTTGCTGATATCCAAATAAAGATCTGTAATTTGATATCCAAATTTTTACGGGTCCCTGCTTTATGGTTAGTATCATTAGTAAATGGTTAGTATGATTAGTAAATAAACAATTCAAATTCAATATTTGTTTTCCAATTTTTTAATTAAAATTTTTTAACTAATACATTTTTTTATAGCAGGTTTTCTAAAAATATTGTAGGCGTTATACTTTCGATTTCACACTTTCGCACACCCAAATTACCTTCTGTAGGAATCTTTACATAAGAAACTTGGTTCATGTAGTCATATGTACGTTGCTAATCATATGAAAAGCATAGTTAAGTCATATCTCACATTAACAGTTAATACAAACTTTATTTAAATAAATATTTGTAATTATTAAAAATTACAGATTAATTTTAGGAGGGCAGTGCAGTCGGACATGGATTTCGTGAAGGCACGTACTAATATTAGTAATGCATATTTTATTATAGTTATTTATAGTAGGATTATAGTCGGAATATTTAAAAGATTTAATAAATAATTTTTTAAATAAGAATCAGTATCTTGTATTATTGTGATTTAAAGCACGTACGTATAAGTGCCATCCTAAACTATGAAGCAGCTAAGAAAGGAAACTCTCCTCTTACCGTAATATAGTACTGTAATATTAAAAATCCAAATTCATAAAGCTGATTCAAAAAATATTTGGAGAAAGATTTTCAGGAATACGTGCAGTATGTGCATATTTGTTTTCAACCGTCAATTATGACAGTACAATGTGCATTTCTAAATACAGTATATATATAGCGTGAAATAAACTTTCTACAGTTGTATTGTATATCCCTTTTAAAAAAAAACTTTTAAATGTATTTCGGATCATTAGCAATATTTCTCTTTATAACTTTTTTTTCGCTCTCATTTATCGTAGAAGCTCGTTTAATCAACGGTAGTGACAACAATGCTATAAATCCAATCGCTGGAACTCCACATCAACCTTTTTTGAGGGCCATTAGTTCACTGAATTTCAAGTAATGATCAATCTTTAGTTATAAATTTTTGATTTAAATGTATTCAAATAGTAATGTTAATTTATAATCTAGTCAAAATTCTTCTCCCGTTACGTCGCCTACCGATTTTCTTGGTTTAAAACCGAGTGGTCCAACAACTATTAAATGCACTGATAGCTTACCTGCAGGGCTATATCCTATGCCAAGATGTATATCAAATGTGATCTGTAAATATAATACCCCACTTTATGATGTTAACGCATTGTCAAGTTATCGTTCATTCAGGCGGACTAGCCATTTCGTAAGTTATCGTGAATTTATAATAATTATGCTTCGTTAAATCTAATGTTTTCGTATTTATATAATGCTACAGGCTACTTTCTTTGGTCAATATATTTCATTTGATATTGCGTCTTCAAAGAACACAAATCCAACATATCCAATTTTCTTACCAGCAGATGATCCGTTTTATAATCCGAATTCAAATTCCACTATATCTCCATACCAACTTAATGTACCCTTTTTACCAGCTAATCGATCTGAGGGTAATAATGACACTAATCCAGAAACACGAAATCCCCTTCTTAGTGGAATAAATTATGTCACTCCTTTTCTTGATTTAAATAATATTTATGGTATTAGTGATCAGGACGCGTTAAATAGGCTTCGCAATACATCTGCTAACAAAGGAAAATTGAAGACGTATATTATTAATGGCCAAGAATTTCCTCCAAAAAGTGCATCAGATGGTTCATTTATTTGGGGTACTATTGAACGTGCATTTAATATATTTACTTTGGCTATTCAGACAATTTGGATACGCGAACATAATCGATTATGTGATGAATTGTACCAAAAATATGGTAGTTCTTGGACTGATGAGCAGTATTTTCAGGAAGCTGTGGGTCATCAATGATAATAAATTTATTTTATTTAATAAATTAGTCTGTTGATTGTTAAATAAATTTATTTCAGAGACGTTGGGTTACTGCTTTCTATCAAAAAGCTGTTGCTGAAGAATATTTTGGTGCTGTTCTTGGCCGTCCTTTACCGGCCTACCAAAATTATAATCCCGATATTACGCCAGGTCAGAAATGCTGTGATATAGTCACACTATTTTACTACTATATATTCTTACTTTAAATTTAATTGTGTATTAACAGGAGTTGACACATACTTTTCAACTGTTACATTTCGATACGGCCATAGTGAATTAAGGTTAATATTACTTGATTTAAATTTTTTTTTTTTTGATCGAAAAATTATCTAACAGAGTTTTCTTAAATTTATGTAGTGATTTTTACCGAATTCAAGATGAATATGGAGACACTCTTTATGACTTATCTTTGCAAGATATTACAAATCTAACACTTTTGGAGGAACTTGGTTTAGAAAGAGTGCTTTGGTCTATGATTCTTCAACGCCAGGAAGAAGTTGATGTTTTTTTAGCGGATGCGACCAAAAAAGTTATTAATTTTAATAATAATACTTATGATCTAGCATCTATTGATGTCTTAAGGAGTAGGGATCGTGGTAGGATATTTATCTTTTCAAAATTTCTGATGTAGTATCTTTAAAATCTTATTTATTATGAATGCCATTATAGGAATTCCTTTATATAATGTGGTTAGACAATATTTTGGCTTTCCAAAAGCTCAGTCGTTTGCTAACATTTCTAAAAATCCTATCATTCAAGAAAATTTGGCTAAAATATATCCAAATGGTGGTTATAACAGATAAATTTTATGATTCTTGAGCTTTACTATAAATGTTAGTTAACGAATTACTATTATTATTTTTGTTTAGGAGTTGAAACAGTAGAGGCGTGGGTTGGCGTGATGAGTGAAGATCATTTAGATGGTTCAAATTTTGGCATGGTTATGAATGCGAGTATGGTGACGCAGGTGACCATAGTTATATGATTCGATTATGAATATTTTTGTTTTGTTGCGATAGATTTTTATTTTTATTTTTTATTTTGTTTTTTTTTTATTTAAAGTATACATATCTTAGAGATTCTGATAGTTTTTGGTTCGAAAAACCTGAAATGTTCACTTCTGATGAACGACTTATTATACGAAATACAACACTCAGAGATATCATCATTCGTAACATCAACAATAGTGTATATTTCCCACAAAATCTTTGGTCTGTTCAACCTAAAATGACACTTAACAGTAGTGAAGATAGTAATTATCCAACAAGGATTGGCAGTTGGTCTCAATATAATGTGAACTATAGGATTGATTTAACATATGTGTATTTCAAGGTTCAACTTCAAACTTCTGATGGCAACGGCTGGTTTGGAATGGTGAGTTTAAAAAATAATTGACTTTCGAATATGAATATTCTTTTATCAGTTCATTATATCAATATATTATAGGGGTTTAGTCCTGATGATGACGGAATGAAAGGAGCTGAATTTATCATTGGCATTGTAAGTCTCATCAAAGCATGTGAATATGATAGTAAATTGTATTTTATAAGAAAGGCTTACCATTTAAAAACTTTTACGCTATTTTATCAAAAGGTTACTGATGGAAATGTCACATTGGGAAATTACCACGCCGCTGTAGGTGGTTATCATCCTCCTCTTCGTGATGATAATCAAGATCCCACTCTTGTACCAAAGTTCTCTATGTCTGATACCAAAGCTGTGACTGTAGAGTTCCAAAGACTTCTCCGTCCGCCGGGAAAGAAACCAATTACAAATGGTGATATGAAATGTACGATATTTAATTTTTTAATATTATTGTATCATTGAAATTTTGCAATATTGGAACTAAGTCATTATATAAATATAGATATCTTGGCTTATAATCCAAACAGCAACGCATTCACATATCATCAAAATAATCGCATGTTGTTTCGAGTAAACTTTTTTGATAGTGAAATCAGTTCTGCAGCCTCAACCGATCTTCAAAAGTTGATTAGATTAGTTCATGGTTGTGGAATGATCTTTACGTGGTGGTAAATAAAATTTTCTGTCACTATGCCGGTAATACAACTCTTCAAAGGGAAATTGACAATCAGGGTATAGAACCTAAGCACATGTAAAAAATCGAAGCTTAAATCGACTTTAGGCACTAATTAAGAATGACGAGAACGAGATTTTAGATATAATAGGTGATGGTTTATTTCTTAAGCCTTTAACCCTAAATTTCTATCGTCACGCAGTCTCCTTTTCAGGAGTTGGTATTACCGGTAAAATAAAGTGAATTCCTTACCAGTTATCTAAACATTTATTATATATTATCATTTTAGCCTTTTATTTCCAATATCAATCTTAATCGTTCGATACTTGAAGGTATGTTTTATATTCCTTATACATTTAGGTGATAAAAATCTATAGGCATTATATTAGTTGGGCCCAGTGACGACGTGCATTTAGGGTGATCTACAGTACAACAACTTATTTTCGGTAGTTTATGTTTTCAAAACCTGGATTTATATGGATGTTGATTACGTTGGGTCTATCATTAAAACTATATTAAGTCTCTTCCGCAAAAGTGATGAATAGATCGAACTTCTGAAATTTGTATTACAATTGTTAACTCAAATTTTTATTATTTGTAGCATCATAATCTACATCTTAAAGCTCATCGATTTTTACAAGTTGTGGGTGGTATTTCGGCTTCAGCATTTGGAGCTGCTGCTATTTCTACAGTGATGCAGACACAAACTCCACATGCTTGGTATTATCCCATTGTAATATATTTATTTCTGTATGTTTTACTATTGTATTATATTGACTATCGACAAAATTTAGGGCGGGGTTGGTGGTATATATTTTGTCATTTGCTGAATTAGGTATTTTTACAACTTATTGATATTGAATTTAAATTTAAATAGTTCAATCAATTTAAATATTGTATATTTTGTAGGCCTTGGTCTAGTCGCCATGTGGGGACAAACATCTGTGGTATCAGTTAATAAGGTTTGTTTTTGTATTTGACATTCAAATATTTTGAGTTCGTACGCAAAAATAAATTGAATTGAATTATTTATTAGGGGTATCCAAGATTTACAAAACGCTTTCATAAAATATTTGGTTTAATACTTTTATTATTAGCATGGTAATATATTATTGTAATCACCCGTGTTTATTGTTTTTATCTTAAATCATTATATTTATTTAATTTTTACGTATCCATCAAAATTGCAGGATTAATGTATATCTTGGTAATTTTTGTGTAAAATTAATGATTTATAAGTAGTTTGTAAAATTAATACCATACTAATTGCTTTTTATATTAATTTTTTAGGAATTGATACCTATTGCCTTTCTTACGGCTAGTAAGTGCCCACTTTCAATATATTAAGCATAATAAAGATTTTACAATATTATCATTTTAACATAGCAAAATTTATTGAAATAGTGACTCTTTGGGGTGGAAAATTGCTTACTGTTGTTGGATAGCATTAGTAATTGCTATATTTTTAACTTTGGACCTTTGGTGGCGGCTTGAAGGAGCTTTTGATCAATTTTTCTGTATTAAATATAAGCCCCTTGCCGAAAAAACAATGGCACATGCTCACATTAAATATGAAGATTATGCTAAATTACCCGAGTTTACTTGGGAAGAAATTAATGAACGAGTGCAGCGTGGGGTGAGTTTAATTATTCCGAATTACGAATGAATTACTTCGGATTACAAATGCATACCGTATTTGCGCGTAATAATGCGCATACACGGTAAATCGAATCATTTTGACAATACTTTTATTAATGAACTTTGCCTGAAAAATTCGTTCAAAATATGTAATGTAGTATATTTAAGGGAGCGCGTTATTTTGGGACGCGCAAGGGGCGTTATTTTGAGTCATAAAAACAATTTCCAAAAAAAATGGGAATTTCGAAATAACGCACGTGTATTATTACGCGCAAATACATACTATCAAAAAAAAAAGTTCTATAGATCAATCTTTGTGGCATTGCATAACACTAAACTCGTAATGATAGATGAAACTATATTTACATACCTTCCTTTGATGTCAAATGTAGACTAGTAAATTGAAATAGATTAAGGTATTATTTTCAGATTTTAATAGAATTTTTTCTTTTATTTAGGCTTATTTGGTCGTTTGCGATGGACTTGTAGTAGACATCCGCAATTTTTATAGTTCCCATCCAGGTCAGTTTTTTTTCAATAATTAGTTTTTTTTTTCCTACACAAATTTTGATAACTAATGATAAAATTTCTTAATGTCTTGATATAATAGGAGGGAGTCAAATATTATCACGTGTAAATATTATAATTCTTTTATTTGATCTCTTAAAATTGTTTATACAAATTATTAATTATTGCAATACGTCACTTGCGATTTATGAGGATAGGTTATCGGGACAGATATTACGAATGGTAAGAACTAATATAAATCTTTGTTTAAATATACATTTATTAACTAAAGTACAAATAAATAATAAATTTTTTAGATTTTTACAAAGCACACGCAGACAAAATTGTTGAGGATATCGAGTCTTCAGAAGCTTTATTGATTCCAAAAGATACAACTTCTAGAAATTATTATTCATCTGTGCTTGCAAAGCATATGGATCATCTTCGAGGAAGGTCAACACCTCGAGGAAGATGGAGTATTGCCAAATTTATTGATAATCTTAATGTAAAATACTACTCAAGAGAACCACTGGCACAACATGCTCATAGTAAATTTGCCATACAAAAAATGGCATCAATGGTTATAGGCAAGATAAATGAAAAAATGAATGAAAAGACACTTTTAATTTCAGGAGATGGATCTTCGTACCAAAAAGTAGAAAGAAAATCTGCTGAAATCGACACAAATAGTATCAAATTTCACCGTTATAAACTTACAAGCAAAAAAATGGTTAATGCAAATGTCAAATACCCCGTAATGTGTTTTACATTTTCCAAAGTACATCAAGACGAGAAAGATGTTTACACTGGAAAAATCCTGCCTGGACATTACATTCAGGTGAAATCTACAGTAAATGGCCAAATTGTGATTAGAAGTTACACTCCCTTGGAAGGTAGTTTATCCAAGTCATTCATTATTTACGTCAAAATTTATCCGAGGGGACTCTTTTCACAGTATTTGGTATGTATATGTAACATTTATTTTTTTAAAAAATATTTCTTTTAAATTTACTATAGTTATCATTTTTAGAATGAACAGCTGATAGGATACGAACTTCAAGCACGTGGTCCATTCGATGTTTGTGATAGAGATAGGTCATATTTACTAACAGAACCGTTAAGTTCAACAATCATTTTTTCACCCACAAAACTCGGTAACACTTATACCAGACATACTGGGGTGTTATCTACAGCGAAGACGTCTCTATTAAATCCGGATAGTCCGGATGGTTGCTGGGACGAATTATATATGATTGCTGGTACTTACTTGAGTTTTTATTAAATAAATGTTATACTATACATTGGTGTCCTCATAAAATGACTATAACCTTTTTTACATCCTTAGGTGGTACCGGAATAACACCAATGCTACAGGTAATTTGACATTCGTATTCTCTCAAGCGTTCAATATAATGGTAGTATTATAATAATTTTTAACATCTATTATACCAGTTAATCAAGTATTATTTGGAACAGTCAATGAAAGATACCAATAAATATAATAATTATGCTACACATAGACGGATGCACTTATTATTTGGAAACCGTAAAATTGAAGATGTTATTGATGGTGAATTGCTCGAAGATATTGCGATTTCAAGTCGAGGACAACTTACTGTAACGTATTGCCTCTCAGAGCCGCCTTCAGATTGGGGTGGTTTGCAAGGAAAAATTGATAAACAAACAATACAAGAATGGATGAATTTAATGCGGAGTGTATTCCTTTTAACACCTAGCAAGCCTCAGATGAAGATTCTTGCGAGTCATTCTATACGTCGTAAAGTAAATGCGCAAAGCCAGAGTTCTTCACCAACGCTAGAGCTTCAATCGCCATATATACAGCCACATTATGAAGAAGCTTTATCTCCAATCTTGCAATACAGGTCTGAAAGTACGTTACCTCTTTCGATAGAATCGAAAACTTCTATCATACAACCTGATAGTCAAAAATATGAAGAGTGTATAATTGATGCGGAATCCAATTTAAGGCCAGAATTGTTGACAAAAAAATCACGATTACTCGCTATTGATCCAGATTTAGCAAATTCTGAAGAAAGCTATGGTTTGTTACAAGGAAAAATTATTGTTAGTGGTCCATCTGGTATGCTAAGTACTGTTGAACAAGCTCTACTTGAGATGGGATTTAATGAACAAAATATAAATATATTGTACTAGATTAAATTAAATATTTGCTGGAAGGGTGTTTTAATATTTATATTAGAGATGGGTTTCATGCGTGCGCATGATTCCTCAATCGTGCGCATTAATGCGCATTCATGCGCATTTTATCCCATCTAAATTTTATATAGGAAAATTAAAGTATATTTAATTTAGGCCAAGGTGCATAATGCCAGGCA